CCCATTGCTCTCCGAAAATTCTTAGAAAGCCAATAAAGTGAACCGAACAACAAAAACCTTAATATTTAGCTTTCATGTAATTACGCTTTATTACTTCAATTAATTTTAAGGGGAAACATACTGAGAAACAAGTATCTGTTGTTTCAAAAATGTTCCTTAAAACAGATTAAAAACGGCGGGGTACGATGCTGCATGGACACACGACCAGGACCAAACTGGAATCACAACTGAAATACAGAGAAAATTCCTGCATAACCAGCAGGAGACTCGCTGGAGAGAATGACTGTGCTCTCCCAGTTCTGGGGGACAGAATCTGAAATCAGGGGAGGGTCCTTCCTGCCTCTTCAGCTTCTGGGGGCTCCATGGGCATCCCTTCAAGTTCAGCCTCCATCTTCCCTTGGCCCGGCCTCGCCTGACCACAGTGTCCTGGGACCTCCGGGCTCACCAGACCACTCCTGCATGTTCACCTGGCCCCACCCCCTTGTCCACGTGACTCTGCCCTGTTCATGTGGCCCCACCCTCGTTTGCATGTCCACGTGGCCCCACCCCCTTGTTTGCATGTTCACCTGGCCCCACCCCCTTGTCCATATGACTCTGCCCTGTTCATGTGGTCTCACCCTCTTGTTTGCATGTTCACCTGGCCCCACCCCCTTGTCCACGTGACTCTGCCCTGTTCATGTGGCCCCACCCCCTTGTTTGCATGTTCACCTGGCCCCACCCCCTTGTCCATGTGACTCTGCCCTGTTCATGTGGCCCCACCCTCTTGTTTGCATGTTCACCTGGCCCCACCCCCTTGTCCACGTGACTCTGCCCTGTTCATGTGGCCCCACCCTCTTGTTTGCATGTTCACCTGGCCCCACCCCCTTGTTCACGTGACTCTGCCCTGTTCATGTGCCCCCACCCCCTTGTTTGCATGTTCACGTGACCCACCCTCTTGTTTGCATGTCCACGTGGCCACACCCCCTTGTTTGCATGTTCACCTGGCCCCACCCCCTTGTCCTCGTGACTCTGCCCTGATCATGTGCCCCCACCCCCTTGTTTGCATGTTCACGTGACCCACCCTCTTGTTTGCATGTTCACGTGGCCCCACCCCCTGTCACGTGGCTCTCCGTGTTGACGTGGCCCCACCCCTTCTTTACAATTAGCGGGATCTCAGAGGGTGGGAGGCACAACCACAGGCCTTGCATGCGCACATGTCTGGCAGTGGGGTCAGACTGTGGGCAGTGAGGGCCTGGTGGGGGGACAAGGGGCAGAAAGGTAAGTGGGGGGGCCTAGAGGAGGATCCATGGGGATAAAAGAGGCCATATCTAATACTTTCCACAATAAATAACTATTTTAAAAAGTAAAAACGGCCCTGGCCCGTGTGGCTGAGATAGAGCGTCGGCATGCGGACTGAGGGGTCCCGGGTTCGATTCCGGTCAAGGGCATGGACCTTGGTTGCGGGCACATCCCCAGTGGGGGGTGTGCAAGAGGCAGCTGATGGATGATTCTCTCTCATCGATGTTTCCATCTCTCTATCCCTCTCCCTCTCTGTAAAAAAATCAATACAATATATTTTTTAAAAAGTAAAAATGTCCTGTCCCTCTTTAGCGAAAGGGGAGAGGTGATGACTGGGCCGCACCCCCTCCCCGCAAGGGCCCCCTCGTCCTTCCCCGCTCCCGCCGCCACTGACCGCGGAGCCGCCCGACCACCGACAACCGAGTCCCGAGGCAGCGCGGGTCTGGCCCGAAAGTTCTAGACGCTCCGGGGTCCGAACCCCCCGCCGCGAGGGCCGCGCGGGAGGAGACGGAGCCGCGGGCTGGCGCGGGGCGGGGGCTCCCGGCGCCTCAGGAACCCGGAGCCAGAGCCGTCTCCACGCCCGGCGGCGGCCTCCATGTTCCCGTCTGTCCGCCCGGAGGGTCCGGGTGCGAGGAGCGGGGCAGCCGGCGCCACGCGTGTCCGAGGGAGAGGGAGGCCGGCGGAAGGGATGGGGACGGGGACGCCGCCTCACCTGCGAGGTAGACGGCGGCGAGCACGGCGTCTCCTCCGAGTCCGCCTCCCGGGACAGCAGGTGCCGCGGTGGGCGCTGCCCCGGGCGCTGCGCCGCCCTGACAGGCTTCCCGGCCCCGCGGTGAGTGACAGGTCCGGCTCCGGGGTCCCGCCCCCGCGGTGAGTGACAGGTCCGGCTCCTGGGTCCCGCCCCCGCGGTGAGTGACAGGTCCGGCTCCTGGGTCCCGCCCCCGCGGTGAGTGACAGGTCCGGCTCCTGGGTCCCGCCCCCGCGGCGAGTGACAGGTCCGGCTCCTGGGTCCCGCCCCCGCAGTGAGTGGCAGGTGCTTCTCCCTGGGACCCTCCTTGGTCCCGCCCCCGCGGTGAGTGACAGGTCCAGCACCTTGGGTCCCGCCTCCGCGGTGAGTGGCAGGTGCAGCTCGCTGGGACCCTCCTTGGTCCCACCTTCACATTGAGGGGCAGGAGGTGACCAGCGCTTTTGCAGCAGGAAGAAAGACTATTTTTGTTTGTTTGTTTGTTTACAATTTTTTAAAAATATATTTTTATTGATTTCAGGGAGAGAAAGGGAGAACGAGATGGAAGAGAATCAGGGATCGGCTGTCTCCTGCACGTCCCCCACTGGGAATGGAGCTTGCAAGCCGGGCATGTGCCCTGACCAGGACTCGTTCCTAGGTCGTTCATAGGTCAACACTCGACCACTGAGCCACGCCAGGGGAAGCAAGACTATTTTAAAAGTGATTCTTCTATCATCCAGCATTTTATCGTATCCTGACATTTTTATTATTCAGAAATTCTCCCTTGAATAAGAAGAGCAGTTCATCTGGAATATCACAACTCCTATGCATCATTAATATCCTAATGCATTCTTTATGGTGGTGAGTAATACCCTGAAATGAGAAGTCACTGAAGATGAAATATTGCTCTATCACGTTCCATTACGGGAGGAAATACTTTTAATTAAAGCAATCCCATCGAAGCTGTGGGAAACCGGAAGAACTTGGGATATTTTCCTATCGCGAGGCTCACCTTCCTCTTTGGAAAGCCTGATAAGATCAAGTCTTGTTTTTATGCAAATGATTGATATGAACCGTCCTTAGGAATGCAGAATCATTGCAGTGTTGTGAACAGATCTTAAAGACCCTCTTACTTGCTCTGTCCTATGTCCACGAATAGTAAGACCAGAAAACCATTTTGGTAGCATTCGGGTCATTTAAACAAGAATCCTTTTGTTTTCCATGAATTTTCTCTTTTTGAGGGAACACTTTGTGACTATTGACAAATGATTTGCCTACGACTGTCACTGGTCCCCTTTCTGACTGAATGTAAACGTGAGTTTGTGTGTGCATGCCAAGTGTCACACCATATTCCTGTACGTTTCAATATAACTTATAACTTGTCTATATATGTGAAGGCTGCTGATACACTGATAACCAGCTATGTTGTGGATTTGTCTCAGAAATCCATCTTTTGCCCTAACCGGTTTGGCTCAGTGGATAGAGCGTCGGCCTGCGGACTGTATGATCCCAGGTTCGATTCCGGTCAAGGGCATGTACCTTGGTTGCGGGCACATCCCCAGTAGGTGGTGTGCAGGAGGCAGCTGATCGATGATTCTCTCTCATCGATGTTTCTAATTATCTATTCCTCTACTTTTTTTTAATAATTAATTAACTTCTATGTTTATTCCATTATAGTCAGGTTTGTATTACCGCTACTCTTTGGAATTTACTAAGATTTTCTCTTTGGCTTAAAATGTGGTCAAATATGGCCCACGTTATTTAAGGTTGCATCGGAAGCCTTGACAATGTATACCTTCTTTCAGATTTAAACAGAGGTCAACCTCTTTGACCTTTTACATTAAGTAGTTTTCACTTGTTTTTCCCAGTTCATAAGTATCAGAAGCAACAATAAAAAGCCATCCTTATAAAGGGTATACAGCAAATACCTGTAAGGACAAATTATGAATAACTAGTTGAAACCATCCGATTTTAACGTTCACATTTCCTGCAGGAAAATCTATGCTGGGATCATGAGCCAGGTTCTTTGGGGCCAAGATCAGCCCGGATAAATGTCCTAGGAACGCGAGCCAGTCTTCTGAAGAAGTCCTTGATTAAAAGATTCTCCGGCTTCTGATATTTCTGGGATCCTGTCCAGGAGCCCACACATAACTTATAGCGGCTGACTGCTCACGGCCAACAATCATCGTTTTTCCCCACCCCCCTTTGTACCAAAAACAGGGGAGGCCAGAAGGAGGGAGAGAAGGGCCATCTCTGATAGTCTACCAATGAAAGCCAAGGCCAGGTATAACTCCGTGAAACACATCTGTATGCAGGCTTACATGCTTTATGTCATGTTGAAGACCAAAACCATCTCAGGGGCTTCCAGCCAGGACAAAACATCAGAAACCACAGGGAAAGAGCGCATTCCTTCCCACCTAGGGGCGCGAGAACCGCCTGCTTCTTCCTCTTTCCAGAACGTTCCAGGAATTAGGACTGCTCACTGTTTGTGTCATCCCCATCTGCTCAAGGATGGGGGCTCCCTCTGTGGCAGGGAGACCCCACACACACACCTCATCCACGCTGCCCTGGCTCCCTGCTTTTCCTCTGGCCCTTAGTTCTGACATCAATCACACATTTGCTGTCCTCTGGAAAATAAACATCCTGGGAAGGACTTTCCCATTGTCATGCACCATCATATCTGAGCTATCCGTAAGGGGTAGGGGCTCAGTTAAGAACCTGCCCAATGGGCAGCAATATTGGGCTTGCCCAATTCATGCCCAAACCACAGAAAACAGTAGCGTGCCCACAAATGATCTCCATGTCCATGCCCATAAGTGACCTCCATGGCAATAAGTGACCTCCATGGCAATAAATGACCTCTGGAGTGACTTCCATGCCCACAAGTGACCTCCAAGCTCATAAGTGACCTCCATGACCATCAGTGACCTCCACGCCCATCAGTGACCTCCATGCCCAGCACATCCGACCACCCCAGGGGCCTCCCGCGTGAGCTCACCTTGGAGTTGGAGGTGGACTCCAGGAAGCAGAGTCTGTTGCCAAACCCTTCGGCCGCCAGGCACAGTTTCTGCTGCTCCTTGTGGGCGGCCGCCGTGCACTGCAGCACCACCTCGTCGTCCTGTGGGACAGAGGGACAGAGGGACAGAGGGACAGTCAGAGGCGGGACAGTCTGAACCAGACCTGCCAGCATACATGTCAGTGCATTGCAAACCCCAGGGCAAAATCACAACTGTCAGAAAACACACTGAATCCACTCATGGGAGGGCCCGGGGGTGGGGGTAAGAGGGGGGTGGAGTGAGGGCCAGACTGGTGGGGCTCAGTGCTTGAGCAACCACCTGCAAACCAGGAGGTCATGGTTTGATTCCCAGGTTGCAGGCTCGATCCCCAGTAGGGGGCGTGCAGGAGGCAGCCGATCCATGATTCTCTCTGGTCATTGATGTTTCCCTCTCCCTTCCTCTCTGAAATCAATAAAGATGTATTTTTTTTAAAATGCCCCTGTATTCTCCCTGTGCCCTCACAACCCTTCAGAAGAGGCATCTACTGTTGGGGGGAGGGAGGGCAGCGTTCCAGGCGATTCTGCGCCGAGTAAATAAGACGTGATGTCTGGAGCCAAGCCGGCTACAGTGGGCCACGTGGAGAACAGCCATCACACAGCATCGACAGCTTCTTTCAAACACTCATTCGTCACAGCACCAATGTTTACGGAGGACAGAACCCGTGCGAGGAAATCTTCAATCTCCTCAGCCCCCGAGGTACATGGCTGAGCAAGTCCAAGGTCGTGAACTCACGACTGGGCTCGCGTTCTGGCAGGAGAGAGACAGTAAACACACACACACTCAACCAGCGAAGTATGTTAGACGTGAAACTTCCAGGAAAACCCTGGGGCCTTCGGAGGAGGCTCGGAGGAGCTGCTGGGACACCCACCGTACGGAGGCTGAAACTCTGAGCAGTGGGCCCCCAAGACCTGAAGCAGAGGAAGGGTGAGCCACGTGCCCGACCCACCCCCGGCCCTCCACCCCGGTCTGCAGGAGGAGGGACCGGGCATCCCCCAGGAGGCCACCCTTGCAGCAGTAGAGGAGTATGGGAAGGATGTGGCCAGCAGGGTCAGAGGTCATGTAGGGGCGGGGCGGAGGGGCAGATCATGAGGGGCCTTGCGCCCAGGGCAAGATCTTGCCTTTTACTGAGGCAACGGGAAACGGGGAGCCAGTGGGGTCTGTACTAATGCAGCACGCAAGCAGGACAGAGGGACCTGGAGAGTTATTACGCTAAGTGAAATAAGCCAGTCAAAGAAAGACAAATATTGCTGAAACCGGTTTGGCTCAGTGGATAGAGCCTCGGCCTGAAGACTGAAGGGTCCTGGGTTCGATTCCGGTCAAGGGCATGTACCTTGGTTGTGGCCACATCCCCAGTCGGGGGTGTGCAGGAGGCAGCTGGTCGTTGTTCCTCTCTCTTTGATGTTTCTAGCTCTCTATCCCTCTCCCTTCCTCTCTGTAAAAAAATCGATAAAATATATTTTTTTTAAAAAGAAAAAAGAAAGACAAATATCTCCTGATCTCTCTCACTTGTAGCATCTAATGAGCAGAATGAAACAACCAACAAAGTAAGGCCAAAGGAGGAAGGCGTGGGACGGACCGAATGCCTCTCCTACATTCCAATTGGATCCCCGGGAGAGAAGAAATAAACCACAGAGCCAACACCGGTTTGGCTCCGTGGATAGAGCGTCGGCCTGCGGACCAAAGGGTCCTGGGTTCGATTCCGGTCAAGGGCATGGACCTTGGTTGCAGGCACATCCCCAGGCCCTGGCCAGTGTGCATGCAGCGGGAGGCAACCCGTTGATGTGTTTCTCTCACATCGATGTTTCTCTCTCTGTCTTTCTCTCTCTCTTCTCTCCCTAAAAATCAATGAAACATATCCTCGGGTGAGGATCAGCAACACGACAAAAAGCCCCTATTTATGTTCTTTTCTTTAAACATATATGTTTTTTTTTATTTCAGAAAGAGGAAGGCAGAGGGAGAGAGAGATCGAAATATCCATGATGAGAGAGAATCATTGATTGCCTGCCTCGTGCACCAGAGCATGTGCCCTGACCGGAATTGAACCTTCCTGGTTCACAGGTTGAGGCTCAACCACTGAGCCACACTGGTCGGGCTTACTCTTGCATGACGTCTATATTTACTCATTTAAAAAAAACACAGGCAGTTCTCAATTGGCACATCCATACAGGGCCATAAAAATGACTGCACACGCCTCGCTGAGAACATTGTTATGGGGTACATACGTGTGATTGACACGTGGCCTACTCTTAAACACAGGTTCACATTATGTCATCTACACCCTTGAGGGACGCTGAGAGGCACCGTATAGGATGTCATAGGGGCGAAAGGCGATGCATTTTTATTTTTTTAAACAAGTGACATTTTATTTATTTATTTATTTATTTATTCAATATATTTTATTGATTTTTTTTTTACAGAGAGGACGAGAGAGGGATAGAGAGTTAGAAACATCGATGAGAGAGAAACATCCATCAGCTGCCTCCTGCACACCCCCCTACTGGGGATGTGCCTGCAACCAAGGTACCTGCCCTTGACCGGAGTCGAACCTGGGACCTTTCAGTCCGCAGGCCGACGCTCTGTCCGCTGAGCCAAACCGGTGTCGGCAGGCGCTGCATGTTTAATTATGCATCTGATGCCTGGCAAGCACGTGGTCTGGCCGGTATCCCATCGCCCTCGTCATCTCAGACGCGGTTTCCTTTAAGAGAGTTGCTGTGGGCAGCAGCCGAGGGCACCGAGCAGACCCACCCCTTCTTCGCTGTTAGCGGCAGGCATCGGATGGAAGCTTTACTTGTGCATCACTGATGTTAAGTGTGAAACCAACTGGGATTTGCACCCTTAAATAGAGTTAATGCCTAGGTTTTGTTTTTTAAAAAAAGACCACATACGCACAGAGAGAGAAGTACAAGCCATCAACGGTGAATAAAGCCTAGTGCCAATTCCATAAAAATATAATGTGCGTGGAAGTTAAAATATCTCTGATTGTTGTTCCCTGACCGGTGTGGCTCAGTGGATAGAGCCCTGGCCTGAGGACTCAAGGGTCCCAGGTTCGATTTGGGTCAAGGGCATGGACCTTGGTTGCGGGCACATCCCCAGTAGGGGGTGTGCAAGAGGCAGCTGAGAGATGTTTCTCTCTCATCGATGTTTCTAACTATCCCTCTCTCTCTTCTTCTCTGTAAAAAAAATCAATAAAATATACTTAATAAAAAAAAAAATAGTGGGAGAACCACAGGCAGTTACTATCTGCTGAATCATTGTATTTCCTAAGATATTTCAACACGGTCCCCTGATCTGATCTGACGCATCAGGAAACTGTCCTAATACATTCCGAGGCTGACCGATTTGCTAGATTTTACTTACACGTGCCTCTGCGAACCCTGCCGTCTTTCTGAGTGGGTAGCCACGAGAAAGAAAACCCCCTGGCACCGGGGATTCTCTCTCGTCCCGAGATGCACCTGCCTCCAGCCCCAGCCCCGGCACCAGGCGGCGTCCAGGCAGGACACGCCCAGCCTGGCACCCGCCGAGCTCTCCCTCTAATTGCTTCCCAAAAGGTCCGCGGCAGAAAATGAAATTATGCAAAACTCACCTAAAGCCAAGTGGAAACACTGTGTGCTCTCGAATTACGTAAAGCAGCAGCCGGTAATTAAGTATCTGCAACTCGACGGTGGGGGGTGGCTACATGCCCAGTTATGAAAGCGGGGGAGGGGGGAGGGGGGGGGGACTGGCTCCATCCATCACCCTCTCCTTCCCAGGATTCACCCTGTGCTTCTCTCCCATCCGAAGAAAAGAACCAAACACTTTCTTTTTTAAATATTTTTTTTATTGGTCTCAGAGCGAAAGGAGAGAGAGAGAGAGAGAGAGAATCATCAATGATGAGAATCACTGATCAGCTGCCTCCTGCACGCCCCACACTGGGGATGGAGCCCACAACCCGGGCACTTACCCTGACTGGGATTCGAACGACAGGGGTGAAATCTCCCTCGCCCTCGGGTCCTCCTCTGCTTCCCGCCGCCCTCCCACCTGCTGTGGGCCCTGCAGGCTGCCATCGGCCTCCCCCTCCTCTGGGGACGCTGTCAACGTCTCTCAGGCGCCTTCCTCCCGCCCTGTACCCCAGACCACCGTCTACATTTCCAGCCCGGCCGGTGTGGCTCAGGGATTGAACATCAATCTATGAACCAGGAGGTCACGGTGCGATTACCAGTCAATCCCAGTAGGGGGCGTGCAGGAGGCAGCCAATCAGTGATTCTCTCTCATCATTGATGTTTCTCTCTCTCTCTTTTCCCTTCCTCTCTGAAATCAATAAACATATATATTTTTTTATTTTTTAATATATATTTTATTGATTTTTTTTTTTTTACAGAGAGGAAGAGAGAAGAATAGAAAGCTAGAAACATCGGTGAGAGAGAATCATCCATCAGCTGCCTCCTGCACGCCCCCTACTGGGGATGTGCCCACAACCAAGGTCCATGCCCTTGACCGGAATCGAACCCGGCACCTTTCAGTCCGCAGGCCGATGCTCTATCCGGCCTGACCGGTTTTGGCAATAAACATATATTTCTAAAAAAACAAACATATTTTTAAAATTTTTCCAGGCCTTGCTAGCACACCAGTGGCATCCAAGTTTGTCTCCTCGGGCCCGTCCTCTGTCCAAAACGCTACACACACCCACGTTTCCCGCTCCCGCCTGCATGAGCTCCCCAGGGCTGCCTAACAGCCCCACAGCCCAGGGGCTCCGACACCACAGAAAGGCAGGCGTGTGGCTCTGGAGCTGGGTTCGAGGGGTCCGCAGGGTGCGTTGCTTCTGAGGCTGCGGAGGCACCGGCTCCGTCCTCCCACCTGGATCCGGGGCCTGTGGGGCCACAGTGCCGTCTGCACAGGGTCCTCAGCGGTCCTCACACCCACCGTCCTCCCTCTACGCCCCTCTGAATCCAAATCTCCCGTTTATGGGGACGCCGGTCCGACTGGATCGGGGCGCACCTAGGGAGCTGACTTGAACTTGATCGCTATGCCCTGATCCGTTTGGTTCAGTGGATAGTGAGAGACCCTCCCTTCCTCCAGCTGATGG